TTTATCATTTTTCCTTTTGAAGCCGTTAATGAGGTTCTGCCAAGATATCACAAGCCCAGCAAATTTTCCTCGGGACTCTTAATGGAGACGATCTATTTTCCTCCCCTTAGCTAATTCTTCAGCCTTCCCCTTCCACTGAGCAATTGCCTGCGACTGGCTGTCTATTGTGAAAAAGATGATGGAACTGCTCTTTTCTCCCCATAATGATCTGAGTAGTCTCTCTATTAAGTTTCCATAGAGGCAATAGGCAAAGATGGGAATACAAACCCAGTACAGGGAAAGACTAGTCGGAAAACCCCTTGTTTAAACATTTGCCGGGGTGGGTACTAATTTACAAGCAACACCCAATGTCATTAGAATAATTGGAAATAGGGGACCAGTTAACTCAGGTTTCCATATGCAATTTCTTACGTTTCCAGCCTAAGGAATGCCAATTGGTCCTGCTCCCAGTCAGCGCGTTGAATAAGTCTCTTATTTGAAGTTGTGACAAGAAACCACCTTGTAGGAAGGAAGAATCTTGGTAACTGAAAGACATTTATGTTTGTGAGGAAAGCTAAAATCTCACCCTTGGTATGATGGGTACTTAATACTCTCAAAGATGGGATTTAGTAATGGGAGAGGACATGTAAGCTTGGAGTATGTGGTTAGGACAGCAATAAATGAGAGAGAGAGAGAGAGAGAGAGAGAGAGAGAGAGAGAGAGAGATCTAGGAAGGGAGTGGGAAGGGACCACGAATTAGGGTGCATTGAGGGGAAAGAGGGGAGACCCAGCAGCTGACAGGCCTGCTCTTGACGCCTGGAGAAGAGATGGTCTAGTGCGATGTTTGAAGAAATGCTCTGAGCTGTAGTAACTTTCATTTGCCCTACAGCTCCCACTTAGCTCTCTGCTCAGTCATCTCTAAACTCTATCTTACTCTTGTGAGAGTTTTGTTATTGGAGAAGGGACTAACTAGACAGCTCATATAAAGGTTCATGGTTTTCAGTAATAGAAAACCAGTTTCCCCACCTCTACCAAATACACATTGAATAAATTATTCAAAGAATGTTTTTTTAAAGGGGTGCTAAATTCTCGCCTGTCCACCTCCGGTCTGGTCCTGGTGCCAGGCACTGCAGGGGGCTTTTTAAGGCATCTCACTTGAGATGGAGTCATTAGGATTAAATGAGGGCCATTGAATTCTCAAGAGCTTCCCTTGGGGGCTGCATTTGATAAAGGTAAGGCAAAGAGGAACTGAATAAAAAAAAAAAAGGGAGGGAAAGGAAGCTTCTATTTGGTTTGTTCTTATCTCAGCAGCAGAGGGAGGCAGAGAGTAAAAAATAATGTGTTGAGCTCTACACCAACAAATGCCTGTGTAAAAAGGCGAACAAACTTTAAGGTGTTTATTGTGAGTGTTTACGAAAAGGGGCCACATGCTAACCTGACTAACTCAGGGAAGGCCTGCGTGGTGGGCTTGCAAACTCAAAGACCTAAAGTAACCACAAAGGATGGTCTGAAATGAAAACTTTTTAAATGAAAAAGCAGTTTATGGTGGTAGTCATGTCCTAGGCCGATATCTTCCCTGACAAAGGTGAATCTTTACTTAACTGAGCCTACTGTCTTTGTGTATCTACGATAACATATCGTTGGAATGTCAAAGTAATTTTCCTTTTTTTTCTGGAGCCCCTCAAAGCACAGGCACTGCTCTGCGGAGATCACAAATCCTCATTGTTGCCGAGTTAATTGTTGACTGTTAACTATCCTGTACCCACCTAAGTAAAAGAAGTATGTGTGTATCACTTTATTTTTTATCCAATCCCAGAGGTTTCCCTGCTTTGCTTTCTCCCACCTCCCTAATCTATCACTAATGGAGCTCATGTAACCCACTTACATCTCCTCTTTTGACTGTAATGTATAAAACAAGGTGAAAACCCGCCATTCTCTGGAACATTATCTTAATTCATTGAGATTCTGCTTCCCAGCAATTGTTGACAGTTTGGCTCAAATAAACTCACAAATTATTTTTTTACAAGTGTGAATATTTCTTACATTAACATAAATCATTTGAAAAGCTCTCAGTAACACACAGGTAGTCCTATAGAATCATTGGTATTTAGGAGGCAGGACTTATAGCTCTAGTCTAGAGGATGATGAGATAACACAAGGTGAGAAGATATTTGAATTTTAAAAAGGGCTGCATATTTCTTTCTGATCCTTCTTTGGCCTATAGTTACATATTCCTCTGTAAACATGGGGCTTGAGTTCAAGGTTTAACTTTGCACCTTTGGATGAACAGCTGGCCTCCAGACCTCAGAGATGAGAGGGACAAGCTAGGATTTCAGAGAATCCAGAGGAGAAAGGGGCAGAAGCCCAACAGAAGCTGAAGCTCCAGACTCAAACTGTGCCCTTGACCGCAACGTGCCCGCCCCGCCCCCCCCCCCCCCCTTCCCCGCACAGGCAGGTCCTTCACCACGTTTTTGATAAGCCATTTTGCAACGTGGAAGTGAATGCTGAAGAACATGAAGCCACACTTAGTACGGTGCTCATGGGGACATGTCACCGCCCTGCAGGCTGTTAGCAGAGGACCAGCGTCCCCAAACACCCAGCAGGCCCTGGGTGGCTGCGAATGCCTTGAGCCTGGTGCAGGCTTTATTTTTTCAACATGTAGGGTGCCCCCCCCAAATGTATACACACATTTTGAATAATTATAAAGCCAGTGTTTACCTGTTATTTTCAAAATTGAGCTACCAGCTGTTAAAATGTGTATACATTTTCTGGGGACACCCTGTATTTCCCATTCCCAAGGCACTTGGGAGGTAGAGGAAAGCCTTCTTGAAGAACCGCCTTTCCAGGAAAAAATATGTCCATCTGGTTTCAGCAGTTAATTTCCTTCATAATCTGGTTCGGTGTGTATCAAGTTCTGTCCTCCAGCAGAGAACGGATCTGAGGATCGGCTTTCTGATGTGTTCCTGACACCGTGTGTGTGTGTGTGTGTGTGTGTGTGTGTGTGTGTGTGTGTGTTGGGGGGGGGTGCGTGTATACGCTGAAATAGAGAGAGGAAGAGAAGGGTAGGGGGAGAGAGAGATATCAAAATAAAAAATGATTTAAAAATAATAAAAAACAAACAGATCAAATGACTATGTGTCTATTTTTTCCCAATGATTCTATTTTTTCTCCCTTTACTAAACCTTCTGAAAATGTCATCTTGCAAATCATTTGTGTTTTTTCTGGAGCCAAGAAGAGAGGCAGAGAGATGGGCTGGTTAGTGATCTCGGGTCCCCAAGGATGAACACTGTTGGAAAGATGAACCTCTTAGGACAAGTTTCACCTTCCCCTGCCCCTCCGTGCATTCAAGGATCAATCCAGCTCTTTTTAGGGGCTTGCTATTTTGTGACAATTGTAGCTTATTTTGAAAACTCATAGGACTGTTATGAGATTCATGTGTAAACCTAAAATCTATCATTTGGTGAATTATGTAACCGTACAGCTGGCTGCACAGGGAAGTGTGGAAGGAGGAAGGGAATCACTTTTGGAACCTGGGCACTGAGGGTAGACACAGGTAAGAAATAGTCGTCAACTTCTTTCAACTTTTAATGTTTTTATTTGCCATTTGTTATAAAAAATTGAATCTTCCTTTTACACAAAATGTACTTTAAAAACAGTAAAGTTTACCAAACCTAATGGATCTCAGGCAAAGGGATTTACCACTAAAATGCAGATTTTCATGGTAAACCTGAGGGCCGAAAACATTCAACTCAAGCTAAAGTCTTACATTTTCTAATAATTTATTGCCAGAGGCAAAAGCTGATTATGTATGTTTCAAAATATGGGACAAAGATAAAATAAGCAATGCTATCCTTCACTGGGGATGCTAACAAGAAAATGGCTCTACTTCAGATTGGCCCAGGATTTTACTGAAAGTGAAACATTTGTTTTTTTTTTGTTTGTTTTTTAATATATTTCTTTATTGATTTCAGAGAGGAAGGGAGAGGGGAGAGAGAGAAACATCAATGATGAGAGGGAATCATTGATGGGCTGCCTCCTGCACGCCCCCTATTGGGGAGGAGCCCGCAACCCAAGCATGTGCCCTTGGCCAGAATCGAACCTGGGACCCTTCAGTCCACAGGCTGATGCTCTATCCACTGAGCCAAGCTGGCTAGGGCGAAAGTGAAACATTTGAAGAATTTTAAAAATATTTAAACATATTTAGGATTATACACAACACATATATGCACAGAGACATTCATTCTAATTCTATGCCCCTTTTTATTTTTTAAATTGCACCATCTCTGTTGATAATACATGATATGCAGGAGGCACTCATAATTGTTTTTCTCAGCAGTAGTGTATTATACAAGTCAAATGCAAAACTTCAGTATAAATTAAGTTCAACTGGAAACCATCTCAATTCAGTGCTTTGGCTTATATTTTCTATGTTAATGCTTTCGTGGTGATGAGATTGTTCATGTAAAAAAAAAGTTTAAGAGAATGTAGTTCATTACCAAAGGAACTTAATAGATAGTTCCCAGTGGATAGAGAGGTGATGGACCAGAAACAGGAAGAAAGCAATTAAATAGGACTGCAGATTTTCCACTGCTTCAGCTTTCATATCCGGCTGAAGATGAGAATTATATTTAGGGCATTTTGCAAGTTTCATGTATGTGTCGTCATAATTCAAACAAGGGTACAAAATAACTCTTCCCCTCTCCCATCAGCCTTCCTCTTGTTTCCAGAAAAAATAAACAGATTCTAATGCAATATACAGTTCCTGAAAACCGACTTATAGTTATATTCTCATGCTTTTAGGAGAGATGGAGGATCATTGGATTAGCTCTAAATGCTGCAGGGGTGGGAAAGGTAGAACTACTCAACTAGGCATGAGGCTCTGGCTTCTCCTCAGGTATCACTGTGAGTTCCCTAGCACAAATATATTGTTACTGTACAAGTGCTGATCAAATTTAAGGAGGTGAGTGAGTGGAGGGAGAAAACAAAATACCTTATGTATATAGGACAATGATAAGAGAACAAAGATGGAAAGAGCATTTTATTGAAAATACAAGGAAATAAAGCTATAAATCCACAGAATTGTTTATTATAATAGTTTCTGAACCCATCAATATTATGCAGTTTTAATTAAACATACAAAATTTGAATCATGAAGCACTTGAACAAAAACAAATATTTTCACCATCCAACGAAGGTCTGCAAATACCTCACTGCAGCTCACCACAGCACACACATGCTGTGTATGCCACAGTGCTGAGATTCTGGGATCTCTACCCTGTTTCACACAAACATTCTTTAAGCAACAGTGACATATGGTGACATCCAGGGGGAAATTAAGACTGAGGATGAAGAATGAAAACACAGTATCTATGTGTCACAGAGTCACCCTGATGTAGGTTAGGAAAGGAACACTATATCTTACCAGAAATGCTTAAAACTGCTTAGGTTCTCAGGCTAAGGTTGAGCAATCAGTTTCTAAAAAAATGTAACTAAGAGAAAAAAAAATCCATAATTATGAGATATGAATAAAAAATATCCTCTTGCAACTTTGGGAAAAAATACTAAACATATCCAAGACTAATGTTACATTTTGCATATATAGGTGTATGCATGTCTCTATGTGTGTGCATGCAAATAAAATGAACCAATGCCATTAACTTTGTTCTGAATAACATCCATGTTTATTTTTTGGAAAATGTACTGCACATTCTTGGAAATCAAATGCCAACTAAAGTCTCACAATTGTAAGTGAACCAACTTCATTTTCTCCATTTAAATTCCCCTTACACGAATATGAACACATATAAGATGATCTGTTCCAACCACGCGGGAAAGGTGGCATTAAACCCCTTTTGTGTGTCAGGTGGTGGTCTCAGAGTTCATTGCATTGGTGTGACGTCATTTCAAAAGCTACCTAAACACTGGTGTGTAAGGATGAAATAAGAAAGAAATCTGAGAACTTTTTAAGGGCATTGAGGACAGAGTTTGCACCAGTTACGACACCCTTATGTTTGGAAAGAAGCTTACAATATTCACTATTAATCCTGATAGTAACTCACTTTCAGAAATTGAGAGAGGTGATAAGGAAGATTATCCAATGACTTTTGCATGTGAATACAACCAGTGACTAGCCAGGGAGAACTAGTTTGTCAGGAAAATGGTAACAATCTAAAATTTGTTTTGAAAACTCTTCTTTAGAAAAGAGGATGAAAATTTTCATACAAATTATGGCTATTTATTTGTCCCCAAACATTTAAGTTCTGAGAACATACCTCTCCATGTTTCTTGTTCACATCCAAAACTTAGGATAATCCTATCTAACACGGGATCAACACACATGACAATTCTATTGTGAAATATGAAAATGAGCATCAACTCACATTAAAAATAGGAAAAATGACAAAAAGAACTCTAGATATAGTCAGAATCTGTTTTCTGAAGTCCTAGAAGAAAGTTTCATCAGTTATGCCTGGGTCCCTGAGAACTTGAATGTTCTGACTAAAGGCAAGTTTTGGTAAGAATTACATTTTTACACCATTCCTTCTCATTCAGAATAAACCATAAGGTTTAGGCAGCCTTTGGTGTTTTATAATTTTTATAGCTAATATTATTCAAATTCATCTGACGCAAACAATTCTTTCTCTGAGATTCAGTCCAGGTGTGTGTGGCAGGAGAGGGAAGCTACATTTTGTTATAAAGACTCACTTTCATCTTTTTGGAATGGGCAAAGCAAGAAAAACAGCAAACATCACAACTCCATGTTTACGGTACTCTTTACCCATGGTGTTTTTCCAGTTTTGTCTAGGTGCGGTTAATCCATTATTTCATAGTCACACCAAAAATTAGATGGCATCATAATGCCTAGAGAAACACATTAAAAATGTACATTTACCCAAAACGAGTCCTTTGATTTTCGTTTTACAATATGCACGGTAGAAGGCCAAACACAAAAGCTCTTTATAAAAAAAGAGCAAATTGTATTCCAGAAAACTTAACCAGAAGCATGAGATGAATTCCAGTTAAATGGGTTTATTTCTTTGTGAGCTTTGAGAACTCATCTTAAACAATGAATAGAGGCTGAGTGTTTTACATGATAATCATATCTACAGATCATGCAGATGGAGAAGTAAGTAAAGTGTTTTGGTTTAACTCTTAATTTCTACAAGATATTTTGAAGTCAGTTTTAAAGATTGAAATCTCTACCTCTCCCCTCCATCACAGTTTCTGAAGTTATTAAGAATTGTACCCGTACAATAATAGCACAGCAACAAGGGAAGAGAGAGGTAGATGATGTGGCCATCCTTTTATAAGGAAACCCTTACATATTTTAGGGCATGAAACACAAGGCTTTTGTTATCCAAAAGTAATTAGTTGCAGAGTACAAAAACATTTTGGTGAATGCACACAAACATGAGAATCATAAGCAGGCAAAAAAACCCCCAAGCATGTTAATAGTAAATTCTTACAGAAATGCATGTGTTCTCTGTACCTTACAAAAACTATTCCCACAGATTTTGAATCCATGATTATGCAATAAAAATATTTATGTTTTACATTTAATATAAACACTCACGAGCAAATAAAAAAAAAGCTTTGATGATACACAAGAAGAAATCTTGGAGAAGACATGGATTTTCAGGATGTCCCAAGGGTGACATGTCCCAAGTACCCTGCTCCTGTCCTATGCAGAGGCCCAAAGCAGGCACTTTCTCAGGTTCGTCATTGTTAAGAGAAAACCACAGGAAGGAAGACTCAATCAAGCTGGGACAGGAAGTAAAAAACCAAGAAGGAATTCTGCCAAGCACCAGACACCCTGCCTAAAAATAATTAAGAACATAAATCAAAGACAGCGTTGAGTGTACATCAAGGGCATTTATATTGGTGAGTTTATGGTCTAGCTGATAAATATCCAAACAGGACGTCAGTTGAAACAAGTGTGCAAATAAGTAATGGGGCTGGGGAGGGAGAGGAAAGAATATCTAATCTTCAAGGTAATAACTGCAAGGTGGACATTCAATAATTTCATGTCCCCCATTCCACCCTCAAAGCGTACTTCTTACAAGTCAATAAGTAAAAGATCAATTATTCACAAAACTCATTTCAGTGTTAACACTTTTTACCTGTTTACTTAGACACTGAGACGCTTTTTAATAAAACATTTGATTATAGTTAGTCATAATTATTACCCATTTTAAAAATCTTTATAAGTTAGGAAATTTTAGTTCTCATTTAAAGCCCTGGGGCACACTTTTAGAAGTTTTCTCTGTAGGTCAACATTTATCTAAGCCCGTCTGCAAGCGTTCTGTGACCGGGGGAGGAAGAGTATTGAGCAAGTTCTCCTCGACAATCAGGCAGCTCCGTTTTAGGGACTGACACCCTTCCAGCTCAGGAGGAAGTGTTTCCAGGTAATTACCAATGAGCTCCAGATGAGTAAGGTTCGACAGCTCACCCACGTGAGGGGACAAACTCATCAGGCTATTTTTCCCCAAAAGTAAACACTGCAGCTTTTTGCACTGAAACAGCCCATCTGGTAGCATCTCAATCTGGAAACGGAAAGAAAAAAGCCAGTAAGACCAGTTTTGGATGGCCTGTTATAGTACAATTACTTATGTATACCTCTACCCTTTTCCAAAAACATTTCTGGATGTTTACATGTAACACTGATGATAAATTTGAAGTAGATGGAAAATATAAAGGAAAAACAAGGACATCCCAACATGGAGTCAGAATCGAGGCTACCATAAACTTTCAAACCCTTGTTATATGTGGGTGGGCAACCCATTTGGCTCTAAACATTCTAATAAGCAATTTTCAAAGAAAACCTAATCAGTTACATACTGATTGTCCCTAAGGAGGAAAAAAAACCAAGCTAGTAACTCAGGAGAATCATAATTATTCTTGAGTCATAGATCAGAAATAAATTGCTCTCCAGAGTCCTTGTGAAGAATTTACTGTCTTATGTAATAAGCAACACCCTCAAAAACATCCTGAGAACAGACATGAGGCTATTTCCTTAGGGTTTCACAGTATAGACTAAAAACATTATTCTGTAAAAAAAAAAAAAAAAGTCGACAGAAGCAGAGACAAGAAGACATGATAATATATTTCATTGCCCTCTACATATACACGAGTATTTATTTACCCTTCTTCCTGTTTTCTGGCTGGTTCGATTAAATGATGTAACACAGAGAAATAATTTAAAATATGATAAATAGCCTGCAATTAAGTGAACTCCTGGAGCCACTCAACGGAACTGCTCCCCTATCTGGTAGGTAGGTTGCATGTGGATTTCTAAGAGAGCCACTGTGTGTATATGAGATAGGGCTTGTTGGGGAAAGAGGTCCACAGGACAGCTGGGCATGCACAGTGCCCTCAACTCTCACCCTGCCACTGAGGGGTGAGTTTGGGCCAAGCAGAGCTGGGCTGCACACACCTCACTCTACAACACTCAACATAGTTATACAGGTGGGGACAGGGCATCTTTGCTACCATGAAACATGGGCTCTTGGTTCGGGAAGTGGCTGTGTTAGAAACAAGGATAGGAGCACTCCGGAGGGGAGGGGCTGACGCCGACCCAGCTCTCTGCTGGAACTTCTGGGGCCATCCAGAATGATCTCCTCAAAAGGATAAACATGTTCTATACAAACTAAAGAATTGCCATACTATATTCATAAATGCTCATTATTTTGCCACCCCCCCTCCCTTCCATCCCCTGCACATACACTCAGTAGTGAAGAGTCTTGATAATAAACCTAATGATCACTGTCGCTAAAACCAGCATTCAATATAGCTCATTACTGTACCTCAAAATGCTAGGTATAAGGAATGAAAAAACATCTACTCTTTTATTACAATCTCTTCTCAAGAATGCAAATGCAACACTATGCATATGTAGATTTCAATATAGAGATATGACAGAGAGATGAGACAGAAGAAATGTCACCCCTTCAGAGACATTGGCAGCTCGGAAGTAGAGTCAGTGAGATAGGGGTAGAGGAAACATTAAGTCCTGTGCAATGTGCTCAGGATAGTGCCTGCTGGTGCCTAAGCAATGACTTAGGCAAACCAGTTGTAAATGTGTGCGGAGAGCCTCCTTTTGTGCTTAGGTGTTAGGGATAAAGTGCTGAGCATGACAGATGGGTCTTTAAGCATCTTAGTCTAATGCAGGGTTTCTTAACTGTGCACTGCTGACATCTGGAGAGGATAATTCTTTGTGTGGTGGGTGCCCTAAGCATTGTAGGATGTTTGGCAGCATCCCTGGCTTCCACCTACTAGGTGCTGGTGCCACTCCCCTCCCCAGGTGTGACAACCAAAAATGTCTCCAGGCAAATGACTCTGGGGGACAAAGTTGTCCCCATTTGAGAAACAGTAGTCTAATGGGAGAGAAAGATATTAAACAATTACACAATTAATTAGTCTGTAATGGGTGTTATGAAGAAGAGAGCCCTAACCAGAGATGCATCAGGGTACCCATCTCACTTCTTCGGTCCGCTTTCAGATGCCAGGAAGAACCTTGCTCAATGGAACTGACTGCCTAGTGGGTGGACACCCTGAAGCCATGGCCCTCACTCTCCTTCTGTTGGGCTGTCAGCACTATCAGGTTTTCACCAATCTTCTTCCAAATTTCAGACTTTGTGATCTTAGCGACTTCCAGGAGAGGGATTTCACAAGGCAAAGGAAGTGAGCCTCTGAGGCCCAGCTGTCAACATGTCTGTGTTGCTGCCATGACAGTGAGTCAGGGCTGTGGTTAGTGGAACCACCTCTCTAGAACTAAGTGTCCATCTCAGGCTTTTTCTCAACATCAGCACCCCGTGAAAGCACAAGCCCTAACTCATCTACTGGGATTCAATTTTGCTAAAGGAGGCTGGGGAGCTATGTTAGAGACTCAAGACCTTCTTTCAACTCAGCAATCTCATCCTGAAAAATCTACTTACACCTTTAAAAAAGAGTTTGCATGAAGCTTACAAGAACACCAAACATTTTTTGACTGGGCCAATGAATTTTATTTAAAAAAATTTGTATAGCATTTATTTATACTGAATTCATTTAGCATGTTCTTTCTTAGACTATATAATATATGAACCAGAAACAAAAGAATTATCTTGGTGGACCACTGACTGCTTTTCAAAAATCAAAAGAAATACTTATAGATTTGATCAGAGAGGTAATAAAGTTCATAAACAGAAAGGTTTTATAGACTAAACTATAATATATAAATACAATAAACTATTAAATGAACAAAATGAATAGCTCCAATATCACTCTATATACTAGAATTCTCTGGCAACCAAATATTTTCAACAAAATGTTCTCATATCCCCAGGACATCTGAAGGGGGGTGATTCTCTTCCTATATCTATGGCTGACATTGATAATGAAATCCTCCGTTTCCCAGAGGCTGGGACCTTACTTCAGAATCCTTCTCAATGTCAGATTTCCTTTTTTTCTGGCCATTGACACATACTATCTCACTTGGAAGTACCAACCAAATATATAAGTGACCTTCCCCATCATATCACATTAATGTGTGAAATAAGGAGGAATTCACATGGCTAGACATCTTTGAGTTAATACAAGAAATGCTTTAAATGCAGAAATGTAGAAGTCAGAAGACCTAGGTGTCAGTTGGGCTGGTTTACAAGATTTGAGTGACACTATGAATCCCCTCTCACCCCCTTCCTTGTGCTTCTCCATCACGTTCCTTATGGATAAGCATCCAATGACACTTTAGCACTGGGATAGAGATGGACGCTGCCTCTCCCTGTCCTGTCTTCCACACACACCACTCTTCATATTAACATCAGTTGGACTGATGCATCTAAGATGCACTAGAAAGAGCTCTAGAATAGGGGTTGAAACACTTGGGTTCCATCACTGGGTAGCTTCAGACCTCAGTTCAAATTACTATGAGCCTCAGTTCAGTATCAGTAAAAGGAGGGCAGTGGACTAGAGCAGAGGCTGGATAGTAATATTTTAGGTTTTGTGGGCCAAGAGGCAAAACTGAAAATTATGTAGGTGCTTATATAACAAGAGAGAAAAGATTTCATGCATATTGAAGTGATGAAAGTCAAAATATAATAATAATTGAACCTAATTTTTTTGTAATATAGGCCCACAAATGAGAGCAATGGAATTTACTCATGAACACTGAAATTTGAATTTCATATAATTTTTATGTGAGACAAAATATCATTATTCTTTTGAGTTTTACCCCCAACTGTTTAAAAAATTAAAAACCATTCTTAGCTTAGGCTGTGGGTAGATTTGGCTCTCATATCTTTAAGGTAGGAGTCTTTGTCTCTCCATTTAGATCTGTATTCCTAATTGTAAATCATAACTGATTAAACCTTTTCATGGGGTTTTGTTTTTTGACTGTCCTCTCCCAACTCTTTTTTTTTTAAAAAAAAGGTTTTATTTATTGATGAGAGAGAGAAAGAGAGAGAGAGAGAGAGAGAGAGAGAGAGAGAGAGAGAGAGAGGAGAAAGGGAGATAAACACTGATTTGTTGTTTCACTTATTTATGAATTCATTAGTTAATTCTTTTATGTTCCCTGACCTGGGAACATAATACAACCTTGGTGTATTGTGACGACACTCTAACCAACTGAGCCTTCTGGCCAGGGCCCAATCTTCTATGCACCATAATCAAAGCCACCTTTGAAACTACCAGTTCAAGCTAACTAGAACTTTCAAGCTCAATCTCACCACAGCTATTTTCCAATGAATCAAACATGAACTTGACTTGCAGACCTCAAGGCACACTCCATTCTGTCCACCTTGCTAAGTGCTCTCACTTCTTATTACATCTGGGCATGTCTGTTGCAATCCTTTGTGCATGATCTCTATCTTTTTTAGATTTTCCGCCTCCAGCATTCTCAGGATGTGTTCCACGAAACTCATAGTTACTATGAAACAGTGTCTTGCTCAAGTAAGTTTGACAAATATTGCACACCATACCTCCCTCTTAGAGAAGCAAAACGCATACTCATTTATAAAAAGCTCTGAAGTATCCTGCTGCAAAAGTATGATAAAAAAGAAATGTTGAATGCTTTTGTGATAACACCTAGTACTATCCTGTGGAAGAAACTCTGGAGGGCCCTCCCGCTGAATGTCTGTCATTTGGGGAACTGCCCAATAGCTCTGCTATCTAGAGAATTCCCTATCTTATCTTGGTGCTCGAGTGTGAGCATTCATAACTCTACCAGTCAATGCTCAGACTTGGACTTTGAATTGGGGTAGTGTCACCAAGCAGCAGAAATCACTAAGAATCTATTTGGTGGAAGGGCAAAGGGCGTGCAGTGGCAGCAGAATCAAGTTTTCAGGGGCAGCCCTGGTGTCCAGGATTGGTTGGTGGCATGGTATCTCTACCATTTTGCTATGTATTTCCTAGAGGGCCAGGTGCACAAAAATTTGTGCACTCTGGGGGGAGAGGGGGGTCCCTCAGCCCGGCCTGTGCCCTCTCACAGTCTGGGACCCCTCAGGAGATAACGACCTGCTGGCTTAGGCCTGCTCCCGGGTGGCAGAGGGCAGGCCCAATCCCTAGGTGCAGCCCCTGGTCAGGCTCAGAGCAGGGCCGATTGGGGAGTTGGGGCGCTGCCCCCTGTCATGCACAGAGCAGGGCGGATCGGGAGGTTGCGATGCCACCCCTAGTCACGCTTAGGGTAGGGCCAATTGGGGGGTTGGGGCACCACCCCGTCACACTCAAGGCAGGGTCGATAGGGAGGTTGCGGCGCCACCCCCTGTCACGCACAGAGCAGGGCCGATCAGGGGGTTGGGCGCTGCCTCCTGTCATGCACAGAGCAGGGCCCATCAGGGGG